ATAAGAACATGGCTTTTTCTAAATACTTTAAAACACTGGGGACAAAGTTTAAAATAGTGCTGTGTTAATATTTTTATCAGAAATTAAATTTAAAATTGATTTTCTATTTTTCAGATATATTGATTTCTATATTTCAGTATTCTGAAATAAAAAACACGAATTTGTAAACAAAAATTTTTTATTTCAGAAACAATTTTTTTCTTTTTTGAAATCAGCAGTGGGGACAAGTGAGGGAATGACATATTGTTATATTTTAATTACCTATAATAAATAATAAATAAAAATTGATAATTTTATTTTTATTCTTTTGTTAGCTTGCATTCTGAAGGACACTTTCACTGAATTTTTTTTTTCGTAAGCTGTAAAACAAACATAAAATATACTGGGGACATGAAAATGACTGTTTTTGTGAGAATGACCCATATATATATACCTTGGCCAAGATATATACATATTATATATATAACAATAAATCTCTTGTCACAGTTTTAGTGTTTAAACTCCTCCGAAATGGGTTGACCGATTCTGATGAAATTTTATATGTATATTCAGTAGGTCTGAGAATAGGTCTATAACTAATTTTTTTTCATTTTTTGGACTGATTTGACGTATATTTTAAATATATCTTTATTTAATCGTAATCGGATCCAAACTAGACATAGAAACATAATAAATCAAAAACAATATTCACGCACGTTGCAACAAGTCATATTAATCTCTAATACTTATGCACGCCTTTAAAAGAAGAGCATCAAATATATTTGTAAGAATGTGAATAAAGTCAGTGATATGGCAGTATTTAGAGTTGAAAATACCAATGTGACTGCTCTTCCGGTGAATAACAACGATGAAATAACGCTGTACCAAATTGGCCGGTACAGTTTGGCGTATCTTTGGCGTATCCCAATTCATGAACGGAATCCAACCGTTATTCATTTAGCCGTTCATCTTGAAAACGGCCAGAGCGTATATATCACGAACGAGACAGCGATTCACTGAGCTATAAATCCACCAAAAACTAAACTCACCGAATTTTTTGAATAGTGTATTCGTGCCTTTGCACGGACATTACTCTACTCAGAAGTACCACACTATTTCACATGGGCTCAAACAAAAAAAATGGACACTCCGCAGGCAAGGCACACTGGTTGATGCATGTCCCGATTTATTCAAATCAAACGCCTTAGGGAGAGTATTTACAGTCAATCTATGGCAGACTGTGTGCTTTTATTTTCGACTGTTGTTGGTTAATGTCACCGGCTCATTGTCATTTCAAGATATACGTAAAGTCGATGGGCATCAGCATCCAACGTATAAAGATGCATGCCTTGCACTCGGCTTGCTGGAAGACGACAAACAGTGAGAATGTATGCTTGCTGAAGCAGCATTGAACTGTACTGCAAAGCAAAATCGTCTACTATTTGCTATAGTATTAACTACATGTTTCCCGGTCCGTATAGAAACGTTATGGGATATTCACAAAGATTCGATGACTGATGATATACGGTATCTCGCAATGTTCCACTAATGAATGAGGACCAAAGGAACATTTATGACCGCATTATGCTCTCAGCTTCGGCAGGACAAGGTGGAACTGGCAAAACATTTATTATTTCGCTAATTCTCGCTGAAATACGATCAAATAATGACATCGTGTGGGCCGTTGCATCATCTGGCATTACGACAACTTTATTAGATGGAGGCAGACCAGATCATTCAGTATTTAAGCTGCCACTAAATATTAAAAACAGCCAAGATGCAGAGTGCAACATAAAAAAGCAATCGTCTATGGCCACGTGTAGAAACACTATAAAAATATCATCTGGGATGAATGCACTATGGCACACAAACATTCGCTTGAGGCGTTGAACAGGACATTGAAAGATATAAAATACAAGTATAATAACTAATTATTTGGCAGCACTCTGTTACTCCTTTCAGGTGATTTCAGACAAACGTTTCCCATCATTCCGCCTTCTACGTACGCTGATCAGATCAATGCTTGTTTGAAATCATCTCCACTGTTGCGTAATGTTGAAAAAGTTCTACTAAAAGTAAATATGCGCTTCCAAATGCTTCAAGATCCATCTGCTGAAACATTCTCAACACAAATGTTAGATATCGGTGATGGAAAAGTTACTAAGGATGAGACTGGATGCTTAAAATTACCGGATGATTTTTGCTCAATCATTGATTCACAAGATGCTCTCATTAGCCTAATATTTCTTGATGTGCACACGCTATACATTCATCATGAGTGGCTATCAGAAAGGGCGGTCTTAGCAGCAAAAAATGTGGACGGCAACGAATTGAATCAGTAGATGCAACAGTTATTGCCAGGTAACTTGGTGACATATAAATCCGTTGATGCAGTTTGCGATCACATTGAAGCTGCAAATTTTCCAACAGAGTTTTCAAACTCATTGGATTTGCCTGGCATTTCACCGCATAATTTAGTACTCAAAGTTGGATCTCCGGTTATTTTGCTTCGTAATTTGAACCCACCACGATTGTGCAACGGCACGCGATTAGTCGTTAAAAAATTAATGAACAACGTCATCGAAGTCATTATTTTAAATGACAAATTCCGGGATGAAAGTATATTACTTCCACGATTCCCTATTATACTCACAGATGTGCCAATTCAATTTAAACGCATTCTGTTCCACATTACATTGGCATTTGCTATGACTAGGCCAAACAATGTCTGTTTGCGTCTTAGATATGAGCACACTATGCTTTTCACACAGACAATTATACGTGGCATGCTCTCGAGTGGGCAAACCATCCAGTTTATTTGTGTTAGCTAAAGATGGAATGGCAAAAAATATTGTACACTCCATTGCACTAAGAGATTAATATTGTTGACTATTTTTTTCAGAATTCGTTGTATATATAATTTATAAAAAAAAGTTACAATAAATTAAAAAAATTATTATTGGGTGTGTTGTTATTTTCACATTCCGTCATCGTTCACAGCGCTCCATGCCTCTTCCACTCATATACCACATACGCACACACTTACAATAAATAAGATATATTTTCATACTTTAGAAATAATTCATATGGCAAAACAACGTTTGCAGGGTCAGCTAGTATATATATATATATATATATATACTTGAGTCCATAAATTAAGGATGATTCAGAAATAGAATTTTAAAGTAAGAACTTCATCTGCAGAGTTATGACACGTATTTTCAAGAATGATATTTGAATTGCTGGAGGCCACCGGATGACGCCTATAGTAAGTCAAAATGAAGAGAGAGAGTAAAAGAGGGGTGCATAAGGAATTTTGGCAAATTAGTAAAATTGCTTACAAGCGTACTGTAAGCAGCTCAGTATCATAACCGAATAATTATAATACAGACGACGCATCTGAAGAATATTTTACGTTATATAATTATCAGCCGTCTGGAATATGGGCCAATTCAGAGGAAGTATCCGAATATGTCATCTCTGGGCTTTGAAAACAAATCCAAGGGGATAGAAATTTCTATACACATTACTGTACAGGTTGCCAACAAGTTACAATGAAGGTCGGTATTTGGTAGTAACTGCCGAGAGAATAGGGGAAGCTCAATGTTCAACCTGTCTCATCAGCTATCTGCAACCACATGTACCCGAGTTTCAAAGTAGAGAAATGTTTGGGAAATATTGTTCTATATGCTCGCAGGCTTAACATTGCAACGGCAATTTATTGTCGCCAGCGATTAACCTAAAGTAGAGAAAATGCAATATGGACATCGTCGCATCGAATTTGTGTTATCGACAAGTCCAGATCTTTTCCAGTAGAACTTTTGCAGCAGCGAATTGAGCGTCTGATCCATGTCGAACAATCATACGATGAACGCCAGGTACATGTTACCAACAAGACAACATTATTGAACGACACTGTTACGGTGGTGTAGGATTGCTCACTTGAAGTAGAATTATACTTTCGTCCGGAACAGGTTTGTATGTTCAAGTCGGACCAACATCTACATTGTTTATTATGGGCGTAGTGCCATGTGCTCAGAATTTGTGTTTATGGATTCAAACGCCCGTCCTCACCGAGTAAATATCCTATACAAATCCCTTCAATCTGAGGATATCACCCGCATGGAATGGCCAACATTCTCACGAATCCATTAGAGCATGTGTGGGACATGCTTTGCCGACGATATGCAGCTCGTCAACCCCTTCCTACTTGTATATCAGAGCTTCGGAGTG